ACTTATAATGCCGCTAAATGCAACTGTCAAGCATGAGACGAAGAATTTGTCTGCAATATCGATGGGCAACAATTTCCCTGCCTTTTTTTATCACAGTTGATATCTGTTGACTGCTCTCTCTACCGCTCTCTATTTTAGTGCCATCCATTGAATGCTCATGACAGTTGTTTGATGAACCCACTGTTTCTTGCTAATATTTTGGGTCCCTAATGTGCCTATTTATTAGATCACGAATTATGTTCCTTTTGATGACGATTTGGATTATCCCACAAAGCTGGAGCGATCGGCTGAGATGAAATCAGAAAGTACTGCAGTAAGTGCCTTAGCCCGCCTTTTTATGTGATTATCGTGCATGAAGAACTGAGTAAATATAAAACACTTACATTTTAGTTGAGAGATTGCTATTTATACTCCTGTGATTTGTTTTTTTTTTTTTTTGTGTTCCATTTTACAAGCTTCAGTTGTACTCCTCTGATTCTTGGTTTCTGAATTTTTCATTTATTTTATGATCTTCTTGTTAGACTTAAGAAATGCCATTTGAATGAGCTCCGTACCTGTTCTTTCTTATTGTCAAATTGCAGACAGATCAAAGTCCAGATATCTTTAAAACTTGGTATCGTCCCCTGAGAAAACTCTATCATGTTTGTCAAAGTTGGATCGTTGTCTAGAACCGCCTGTTTTCACCGGTTTGGCACAGGTATATAAGTATTTCTCTTGCTAGGTTACTCTTGTGAATTTTAGATTAAAGTTGTCTCCTTTATCCCGTTCATTATTCGATTGTTTGGTTTGCTGTCTCTATCAGGAAGCGGTAGAAGTTTGTTCCTTATCCATCCAAGTGAGTGAGCTAACAACAAACTTTATTAGTGTTGTCTTCAGCATCTGACAGTTCTTACTGCAGTGAGTCTGTGTTGTCCTTATGTTATGTTCTCTCTTTTAGGGGCAATCGAGAATTTGATCAGTGGCCTTACAAACAGACCCTTCTTTTGTTGTTATAATATGTACTGATAAAAAAAAATTGGTTATACTTATTTGTTGCAGAAAGCAAGCAAACTCATTGTGAAAAAATCTTCACCAATGGATGGGCAACTCTTCCTTATAAAGCATCTTCTTATTTTAAGGGAGCAGGTTATCGCTTGCTGTTAATATCGGTGAGCATAATAATCAGATTAAAACATGACTAACTCTGCAACTTGGCCTTCCAGATTGCACCATTTGATATAGAGTTCTCAGTCACGCACAAGGAGCTTGATTTCTCTCATTTGCTGGTTAGTGACTATGGAGCCAAAGTTTCTACTTCATAAATGAGTGCACTTGTTTATGCTTGATCATTTTCATATTGTCATACAGTTGCATGCTCTAAGCTGAACTTGTTATGGATTTAATTAAAAACTGCATTTTTTCTATTCTGCATAATAAACAGATTGTGCACTTGCATGCTTCTTCTGAGTTCTGACTTTGTAAGAAGTAGAATTCGAGGATCCTTGAAAATATTATGGATTTGGGTTCTGCATGAATTTCTTCTTTCTAGTTCTTTTTTCCTCTGAGCATGTTGGGCAGGAATTAATAAAATTCAAAAAACTGCGTTAAAAAAAATCTGACAATGGAGACACTGTCGAAAAAAGATTCTTCCATTTTTGAGTCGTGTTTATTTTACAGTCCGGATATTATCTCAAGTGATTTATCATGATCGGTGACATAATCTATATTTTGGCTTCACCAGTGAAAAAGAAAGTTTGATTTACATTAGTATTCCATTTCCAGGAGCATCTGAGACGAATTCTTAGAGGTCAGGCCTCACTATTTGGTTGGTCAAGCTCAACTTCCTTGGCAAGAACACTATCTCCTAGAGTTTTGGAAAGTCAAATGGATGCCAAGAAGGTACATGTTTGCCTTTAGACTATATAATGTTTAATTGTTGATTGTCTTTCATTCCCCTTGGTTAATTTTGTTAGTTTCGGATGACATATAACTCAAAACTCTAATATTTTTCTGGATGATTACCCCCAAAACTTTTGTTATAAGAGGGAAAAATGTTGTTATGTTCCAAATTAATTCTTCCCCCTTTATTTAATTTTCTTATTTTGTACCAAAACCATCGAGACTTCAAGCCTAATGCATTTAACATGATTAACATCTCTAATTTTTCTTTCTCTCAATTTAACAAGTGTATATATTTATATGTTTATCTCCCCATCCTTTGTATCCAGTTTAGAGTAAAGATCATCATATGTTTTATTCTTGACACCTTTTACCTTCTTTTTTATTTCTTTATTTGCAAGCTTGCAACTCTCTTCGTTTTTACTTTTTGCCATGTTTTGTAGCACTCTCCTTCTGATTTTATCGCAATTTGGACCTCATCATTCAACCACCAAATTTCTCTTGCTAATTGTTCATTATCTCTTGATTCTCCAACAACCTCAATAGCTACTTTTTTAATATGTTTTACCATTGTATTCCACATTAATATGTCTTTTAATGTTTTTAACAAATATATCTAGTACTATTATCCTATATTGTGAGGTAAAGCTCTTGCCAGGAATGACTTTATGGTCCTTGCATGATCTACGATCCCGAAAAAATCTTTTAACTTTTATTCAATCTCTTTTTAAAAGTTATTAAATTCATCACTTTTAGAGGACAAAGATTTCTGAGATCTGATCATTCTTTAATGTATTTTGTAGTGTTTCGGTTCAAATAGTAAAGATGCAACTTAAATTCCTGTGAATTTTTTTTTTCCATTTTGTAACAAGGAAAAGGAAATTTTTTTAGTTGGTCTTTCGTAAACAAGAGATATATGTGAGTGAAAGGGATACTCAAACTAAGAGTAAAGCCCTGTATATATAGCCAAATAATATTACAAAGTGACCTAAACTTCCCTATAGTCTAGGCAAAATATAAAAGTCATAATAAGGGTATAAAGAGAAAAATAACCCTAATAAACTAGGCCTAATAAATTAGGCTGCTATGATTCCAATACTCTTCCTCAAGTTAAGCGCAAAAATGTAAACTAAGTCAAGCTTGACAACGGAGTCCTGGAGAATGGATAAAGTGATAGGTTTGGTAAAAATATTCGCAATCTGATCACTGGTCTCCACAAACGATGGAGTGACAATACCACTGCTAACCTTCTCCCGAAGAAAGTGAACATCGATCTCTATATGCTTTGTTCTCTTGTGTAATACACAGTCAGTAGCAAGCTGAATAACAGATCGATTATCACAATATAATGTGAATGAAAAAGTCATTGAAAATTCCAACTTGCCAAGAATCGATCGTAGTCAGATAATCTCACATGTGCCAAGTGTCAATGCCTGATACTTTACCTCTGCTGACGAACGAGAGGCAACTGACTGCTTATTGCTCTTCTAAGAGATAAGATGAGCCCCTCGAAAAGCACAGAAGCCCGTAGTAGATCGACTGTCACACGATCCCCTATGATCTGAATTTAAATAACAGGCTAGAGGACCAGTCTGAGATCCTGATGCATAGAACGACTCAAGTCCAAGATAAGACTTGAGGTACCGAAGGATATGATAAACTGCATCAAGATGAGGCTGACATGGTCTGTGTATGAACTGACTAACTCGGCTGACAGCGAATAAAATGTCTGGCCTAGTGTTGGCTAGGTAGATAAGTTTACCTACCAACCTCTGATAAACAGTTGGATCTCTCAACTCCTCCCCTTCAGCAGTAAGCTTCAGGTTTGAAATCATGGGTGATAATGCCGGTTTGCACCCTAGAATCCCAGTGTCTTAGAGAAGATCCAAAACATACTTTCTCTAAGAAAGAATAATACCCTTTCTGCCACGGACAACCTCAATCCCAAGAAAGTATTGCAAAAATCCAAGGTCCTTCACATCGAAGGCCTTTCCAAGGTCTATTTTGACCTGCACAATTCTAGAAACATCATCTCCAGTAATAATAATATCATCAACATATACCAAAAGGATGACACTGTCTAGAAGTATTCCGTCGAATGAAGCAGGTATGATGAGAGACTTACGCAGTCGATATACCTTTTCAGCATACTCTCCCTCACCACAAAAGTCCGATGGTGCATCCATATAAATAATCTCGTTCAGATTACCGTGAATGAATGCATTCTTTACATCCAACTGATGAAGAGGCCAAGAGCACTCCGCAGCCAGAGAAATAATCAATCGAATAGTAGTCAATTTTGCCACGGAGGCAAAGGTAGCAGCAAAATCACAACCTGGTACTTGAGTAAAACCCTTTGCCACAAGCTTAGCCTTGTGACGATCAATAGTACCATCCGCAAGAAACTTCAGGATGTAAACCCAGCGACAGTCAACAGGCTTCACCCCTGAAGGTAAGGAGACAAGATCCCATTTATGATTACGCTGAAGAGCGTTCATCTCCGTCTGCATGGCAAGAACCCACTGGGGTTCCCGCATAGCCTCTAAAACAGAGCGAGGAACCGGCGTATCTGATAAGGCCATACTATAAGCTTGAAATGTAGGAGAAAGATCACCATAAGAAATATAAGCAGAGATCGGATATAAAGTCCTGACGGTCCAACCATAACGGACAACTGGACGGCGATCACGCTGCGGATAACGACCCCCTAAATCATCATCCTCCACTGACAATGTCTCATCAAGGAAAGTCACTGACTCAGTACTTACAATTCCATCAGTACTAACAACAGGTGCATCAATATGTTCAACGAACTGAGAAATATTACCTGCATCACCTGAGATAGAGGGGACATCAACAGGGGGATGAGAGCCAGGGCGACGAGCATAAACCTGCAAAGGAAAAGAGACTGGTGACTCTGTAGTGACAGGGACGAGTGGCTTTGGTGGAGGAGAGACTGATGACTCTGTGGTGATAGTGACCAATGACTTCGGCTCCTGTGGTAACGGAAAATCAGAGGGAGTATCATCAACTGGAGGGGCAGATACAGGAGTGAAAGAAAAATAAGGAATTTGCTCAAGAAAGGTAACATCTAGACTGTGATACATACGACGTCTGATAGGATCATAACATCTATACCCCTTAAACTGATGACAATAGCCCACAAAGACACAACGAATCGCTTTATCATCAAGCTTATGGCAAGTAGGAGACTGATTCTGAACAAATATGTGCAGCTAAAAACATGAGGGGAAATCGAAAAAAGTGTCCGCTCAGGGAATAAGACCTGTAAGGGAGCTCTATGCTGAAGAACACGACTCAGTGTATGATTATACAAAAATGTAGAAGTTAAAACAACAAAATGCCAATAAGATTTTGGTACTCCCATACCTCTAAGCATACAACGTACCATCCCTATTAGACTCTTATTTTTTCTTTTAGCAACTCCATTTTGCTCAGGAGTATATGGACAAGTGAGCTGCTGAAGGCTACCCTGAAAAGAAAGGTGAGACACTAAGGCATCAGACACATATTCTTTGGCATTATCCGAATGAAGAGTACAAACAATGACATAGAATTGTGTCTTAATCATCTAGAGAAACTGAGTGATGACAGGGAGTACATCAGATTTCCTATGCAAAGGTAGACCCAAGTACAACCGGTATGGTCATCTATAAATGCCACATAGTATCGAGCACCTGCAGAGCAGTAATAAGAGAGGGTTCCCAAATATCAGAGTGTATTAGGTCTAATGGCTTGGATGACTGGTGCATGCAAGAAATATAACTGGTCCGAACATGTTTAGATAGGGAACATATAACACAATCAAGTTTACCACCAACACGAGCATTGCTTAAGAAGGAAATAACATACATAAATATTTAAAATTTGTATGCCAAAATGGTCATGCCACAACTGAACAGTTTGTAATGAAAAATCATAATGACAAGTACTAGGCAAAATACTAGCATGCAAACTGGGAACAGATAAAGACAAAGTAGGTGCAGGTGATAGAGGTGGAGGAACTGGTGAAACTAGAGATGGATCATCTAGATAATACAATTCATCTCTCTCATTTCCCCCGATAATAATCCTCTTGGTACTCAGGTCCTACAAATAACACGAATCAGATAAAAACACAACTGCACAGTGAAAATCTCTGGCTAACTGATGTACGGATAATAGATTCATGGCCAATTTTGGCGCATGAAAAACTAAATGTAATGTAAAGTCATCTGGGAGGCGGACTGTACCCCTACTAACAATAAGGACATGTGTCCCATCTGCTAGCTGAACTTGTGTATGTAACTGGCCATCAAAAGTGGTGAAGTGATGGGCCTCACCTGTCATATGACCATTCGCACCCGAGTCTAACATCCAAAGGGGAGACGAATTGGCGTAAGTATGAAAGGCACAAGGTATACCTGTAGTGGTGGCAGTAGCAGTAGCAGTAGTCGGACCCTGAGAAGTCAGAGCGGACATAAGTATATCTAATTGGAAAATGATAACATCTATATCACTCTGCCAAGGAGGAGCAGCAGTAGGAACAACAGTAGTAGGTGATGGTACCTCAACAATAGCAGCAGTACGGCTGCGAGGCGGGGGCTTAAGCTCCGGATAGAGCTTTTAGCAAGTAGCCCTGAGATGGTCTGGTCGGCCACAATAATCACACTGATGAGAACTAGGAGGTACATTCCAGGTGGGAGGTGGCTTAAGCTTTGGATAGAGCTTCCAGCAAGTAGCCCTGAGATGTCCTGGTCGGCCACAATAATCACACTGACGAGAACTAGGAGGTACATTTCAGGTGGAAGTACTAACAGCAGAGGTCTCAACAGTAATAGCCATAACAATAATAATAATAATATGTGGGCACCCGTGATAGAAAAAACTAACTCTAAGATAAATAGATGGATAAAATAAGGGGGAACAATATACCTTCAGTCGAATAGTAGCGACAAATAAAGAAGGTCAAGTAAAGCTCCCATATAATCAGGTTACGG